CGTTATTCAAGTAGAATGACTGCTRMAYSTCTCTCAAGGAAGGATGGGCGAACGGTTGATTAAAAGACTTTTTTTGTTGACAGAATCTTGAAGCCATAATATGTTCAAAAAWWCTTCTCAAGTTTTATTCCTTTGCTTTCAATATTGTTTTTCACGATTAGTTTTTTTTATTTGGTCAGCTATTCTTTCGTTTCGTTTCGTTTCGTTTCTTTCCTTTTTTTGCCCATCTGTTTTCTCATTTAGACATTTAGCCGCTGCCATGTGTTTGTTTGGTTATTTTTATCATTAAACATCGAACTTAAATTTACTTAATTTAATTCCTACTAGGGTAACTTGTGGATGAACACAATGCCGCTGGCCAGTAACTTATCGTCAAGACGATCTACCGGCGGGTCTGAGTCTAAAGACCCTAGCCAACAAAGTGCTTTTAAGGATTACCTCAAGCGAAGGAACTTAATCCTGGCTCTCGTAAGACGCGAAGTGGAAAGGTTATCTTCTTGGTATAACTCAACACTCAAAACAGATCTTGGATTTGAGGTATCTATTTGTTGCCAAAGAATGACTCTTTCCCGCRATGACGTCATGTAGTGTTCAATGAATGCATTATGGGATTGCGGAAACTGTTAACTAAAGTCGTGTTGTGTGACGTTATGTGGACAACTAGCATTACGTATTGTTGTGACTAATCTTTGAGTATACTGTACAGGGTACTATCTTTTCAAAAACTCATACATAATTAATGAGTTATTAGGCCAATAGAATGAGCCTATTTGGTCACATGCATGGACCTTTATATCTGATAAAACACTCCTTATTAGTATTCTTAGGGTGACCTTTATCAGATGTAAAGGTCCATGACCCTAGCAAAGGTCTCAGGTTTGAAACCTGATCATTGACCAATGCAGGATGTCAACCGATTTCATTGAACAGCCAAGAGCGGTTCTATTTTACTTTATGCGTATTCAATGTGCGATGACAAAAGTGCTTTGTAAAGTGATTCGCGTATGATCAGTTTGCCCTATTTATCTCAGAACATATTTGTACGTTAATTTCTCCAAGAATTTTAACGGATTTGAGTTTCAAATTTGAAGCCGTTTAAAAATGTAAAACCTTCGAGATCGTGTTTTATCAGGTATAAAGATTCGAGCCGAACTCTCTCGTGTTTTAAACTATACATAAAGTGCAACTGAATCCTTTTAGAAAATCATTTTATTCGAAAGAGAACATACTGCTAAGCAATTCTGAAAAAAAAAATTAATTAAAGATGGGAAATAACAATTCCAGCTCTTGAATATTACTGGGATTGAGGATTTGACACTTTCAACCAAACGCAAGATATCGCAARCAATGAAAAACCTCCAGCCCAATTCCTTGGTTGACGTCACTTTATTTTTAATTTTTAAATGCCTTAAACTCAGAAAATATAATGAAACAACTATTTTTTCTTCAAAACAATGCATCATATTTGCCTTTTGTTAAAAAAATGATTTTCTAAAAGGGCTGTGCACTTAGAAGGTTTTCCTCAAGTTTTTTGGTAAGGTTCTTCCTTCTTCGTCTTTTAAAATGTCCGCCATCTTGAAACATTTTCAATCCCATGATGCATTGCGATAAAACAGGCACGAAAATTCAGCGTCATTTTCGAGAATGGTCTTGCTTGGCTTTAAGCCATTATTAAATTCAATTTAGGGCGAGGATTCACTTGTCAACTGGAGCAATCAAACAGCATTCACCGAGAGAAGTTGGAGAGAATTAGTGCGACTAGCTTGGCAAATAAACCCTGACATTGCKGTATTCCTGCCAGCAAGGTTAGACTGCCAAATATGGAACGTCGTTTCCATATATGGATTTCGAGTGATATGGTGTCATTTCTTCAATAAAATGAATTTATTATATCCATGAATAAATATTCTAACATTGAATCCATGAAACAAAACTTGACTTAAAATAAAACAATACTTTTGGATTGTACAAAAGTGTATTGATGTAAAATCTATTTCACGGGTTTTTTGAATTCAATCTAACAAAATTGTGTAAAATAAGTACGAAATTAGAGTGATCGCACTTTTATAAAGTGTGCAACTGTTCAAAATCTAAGTAGTATTGATTTGTACTAAAAGTGGGCCTGAAGCAAGACTGTATTGAATGTTTCATTTTTATCAGTTCAATTTAATTTGCGTAGATTGATCGCACTCAATCCGTGCAACTGTACAAACTAAATAGTCCTATTTAGTTTTATTTAGTAAATCGTGCATGCGGTACGCAAATTAAATTGAATTGATACAAATGAAGCATTCAATACCATCTTGCTTCAGGTCCACTTTTAATAGTACAAATTAGTACTTCTTTAATTTTGTACAATTTAATTTGCGTACCTCATGCACGATTTACTGAATACAACTGAATAGCACTATTTAGTTTGTACTGTTGCACGGATTAAGTGCAATCACTCTATATTGTTCGTCATTATAACTTAGTGCAATTGTGTGTAATTTCTTGCAAAGTCTTTCACAGTTATATTATGTTTCCTCAGTAAACGTTTCCTGGAATGGCTGAATACAGTGTTATTTTTACCACAGGTTCAAGGAAGTGGCATGTCTGCCTCGTGAAGTCTCTCGCTTCGTTAGAATGAATCCCACAGCCGTAGCTGATTTACCGGAGGCTTTGCAGGTTAGTGTTTACAGGATTTTGTTTCTTTTGTATGCATTCTAGTATTTCGACAACATGGTGTCCAGGCACTTCGACCAAAACGAAGGGAAAAGGACCTGGAAACGAAGTTAGTGTCTCGTCTCGGTAAAAACTAACTGTTAGTGTCACAGTTATTCCAAGGGAAGCAAAATTTTTGTCTTTTTGGTCTTCCTGTGTCGAGCATCTTGACCGAGGAGAACTGGTGMCGAGAAGCTWTTATGCTAAACACAGGAATCTAGCGGAAAGAAAACAATGGAATTAATATACTCCTCTAAAATCTATTAGTTTACATTGTAGCTACCCTTTAATAACATTTGATATTCTGC